GTATGTATGTGTATGTATGTTTGTTTGTAATCGCACCGACCTGACCTTCAATCTCTACTACCTTACCTGATTCGCTGCACTACTTTTATCTATTGCGTATGCATCTATCTATCTATATATGTATCTATGTTTGTATCTGTGTGTGTATCTGTGTGTGTATGTATCCATGTATATATCTATCTATCTATCTATCTGTCTATCTATCCATCTATCTATATATATATATATATGTATATCTTATCTATATATATGTATGTATGTATATATATATATATATATATATGTCATGGTGTGCGGGTACAATCAATTCACCAGTGCTATTCTCCCATGCAAATTGTAGGGAAGGACTACAAAGATGATGAAGAACATAGCAACGCTGAACCTGGATCCCCAGCTGGAGGCTGAGATATCACGGGTATCTCCGATTAAAGAGGTTGCGCGTCTGTACGATGTCATGCATGGTATGCAAATGGCCCTCACATCGTTCTTCAAGTACGTGCCGGCTGACGTTATAAAGGTAAGCCGTGGGCAGTTGCGAGCGTGTTAGACGTTTAGTTTGGTTGCTACAGCCTTAGTAGTAGACTAAAAATGTATTGCATGAATGACAGCTATTGATCAAAGAGTTAACGGGCGTGGCGCTACTTTAGCTTGTACAGTGTGCAAGGTTAGGCTAGTATTTACGTATGATAGTTGTGGGTATGTGCGCGTGCGAACCAAGAGCAAAAGCTCCATGAACGTGGTATGTGTGTGTAGGGCTTCATTGTCGTTTCACCATACAATGTCTGTGGACAGGGACTGTCTCTATAGCCGTCTTTGGAGATAGTACTATCCTCGTTACCACTTCACCTGTGGTAAGTCCTTTCGCGTGATGTGATTATCGTTGTTGTCACACCCACACAATTCCGCACCGCTGACTGCGGCCTCGGGATAGGTCACTCAGATTAGTAGGGAGCCCTAATCCCTCGAGCTAAGTGGGGAAGCCTAATACTTCAAACTTACATGGGGAAACCTACTACAAGGCACATGACACCTGCGAACGCCTCAGTGGGATCCAGACATCTGTCTGACAACTAGTTATGCACACTAATTCACACATGCCAACTAATCGGAAACTAATTGTTACCATCCCCCCACCCCATTCACAAACTAGTTGCTCATGCGAGCGGGGTATGAGGCCAAACTGGGCGGGGAGAAGCGGTATCTGACGATATTTTTCTCCGATATCGTCGACTTCACACGCATCAGCGAACAGCTCGACCCAGAAACCCTGATAGACATGCTGGGGGTGTACCTGAGTGAGATGTCCAACCTCATACTAGAGCAGCAGGGCACTGTGGACAAGTACATCGGTGACGCCGTCATGGCCATGTGGAATGCACCCGAGACTGTAAGTGGGCCGATTTGGCCCCGATTTTTTTATTTATTTATTTATTTGAAATGGTGCACGAGATGCATTAGCTTTTTTTTCTATTCTGTTTTTTCAGCAGCAAAAAGGATAGTACCTGGTATATATATATATGTGTGTGTCTGGGTCTGGGTCTGGGTCTGGGTCTGGGTCTGTGTGTCTGTGTCTGTGTCTGTGTGTGTTTACACGTGTGTGTGTGTGTATTTAAAATATAAGTATGGAATTCGTGCACACGCATGCACGCCCCTGACAGTAACTGGCTATCTGCCCTCGTGCAATGTATCGCGCATTCTATTTTTTTTTCTTTGATACAACCCCACGCAACATCCCCTGGTCATACTGCTCTCACATACTAACCAATACCATACAATGCATATGGCCTGTGTTGTGTGCAGGTGTTGAACCATGCGTACAAGGCGTGTCGCTGTGCGTTGCTGTCGCAGCAGCGGCTGATGGAACTTCGCGGTATGTGATGTGTGTATGAGCACACGCTATACTAGCTCACGTGTAGTTTTGTGTGCCTGTCCGTATGTAGTTTTGTGTGCCTGTCCACGTGTGTGGTGTGTGCACAGTTTAAACCGGCGTGTCAATTGAAACATCTGCTGTGTGTGCTTGTCCAGAGAATGCCTGCCGACCGCAAACTGAAACGTCCGCAAGTGACATGACCCCACTCGTGGCCCTTCTCTTCACATGCTTCTTACGCCCACTTTGTGATACATACGTATCCTTCCTAAAGTCAAAGTCAGCTTGTAGTTAAGTATTACGTCCCAAAGTCAAAGTTGGCTTTGTAGTTGAGTAATACGCCCTGGGCTCATTCATTGGCCTTGATTGTCTCACATGACTTCAGAGGGCTGGAAGGACACTCACCTGCCAGCCGTGGGTGCGCGCATTGGCATACACACCGGTTATGCCTCGGTAGGCAACTTCGGTTCTAAAGACAGATTGACATACACAGCCCTAGGCGATACGGTCAACTTCGCTGCCCGGCTTGAGGTGTGTCTGTGTCTGTGTCTGTGTCTGTGTTTGTGTCTGTCTGTGTTTGTGTCTGTGTCTGTCTGTGTCTGTGTTTGTGTCTGTCTGTGTCTGGCCTATTTCGCCCTGGCGTGTAGCTGGGGGGTGCATGTGTGTATGTGAGTCTCTGCCTGATTGATCTGAGGCTGAGCGTGACAGACCTGTGACGAGGGCAGTCAGTGGGTGTGTGGGTGTGCCTATCGTAGTTGCGGTGGTAGCTTCGGTTTCACGGTGCCCAAAAGGTCTTCTATTTCCCGTCTCCGGATGTCGATATAAGTGTGGGAGAGTGTGTCGTATCGGTGTGGCTGTGTCTGCGTACGCCCGTTCTGTGTCACTTGACCTGTGTACACATGCTCTGCTGTCCTTGGTCCTTCAAGCATAAGCATATGCTGCTATCCGTGCGCGTGTGTTGTGTGTGTGTGATGGCATTATACTGTTTGTTTCCTTTATTTGCACTACTTTGGGTAATCAGCCCGAGTGTGAGGTCAAACATTGTCTGACAATCGCCGCCGCGCATTCCCTATGGAGTGTGGCATACATGCAATGCCAATCCGATGGCGGTGTCGATGCCGAAGTTCGGGACCACCGACCTGGCCATCGTCGTAAACTCTTGAATGACTGTAGTTCCGTATGCCATTGCTACCATGCTCAACATTTGACGCACCTTTGCTCCCAATAAATGGACTAATAATAAATGGACTAATGGGTACCTCGAAACCCCTTGTCACAGGCGCTCAACAAGGAATTTGGGACCGAGATCATCATCTCCGAAACAACTTACTCGCAAGTGAAGGATCAGTTTGTCTGTCGACCGTTAGACATTGTGTCAGTAACGGGCAGTGGGACTTCGTCTGTGCCCATGGTTGTCTACGAATTAATCGGCGACTACAACAGCGTCACTGCTGAACAGGTGCGCTAGAACCAAGTAACGCCGTACTATTGTGCA